AAAGACCATTTATCAAGAAGCCTAATTTGAGACCAAGTCATAGACATGGGGATTACCATATTGGAATTTTCCATATTGGTTTGGAAAAACACTGTTTGGCCTTTGATGTCCATCTGAAGTGCATTTGGACACAATATGTTCATTACTTTATAGCATATTCTATAAACTAATGCAATGTTTTGGGATCTTGGATTCATATCAAACCCTTTGGTTTTTATATTTAAAGTGAGAGCTTTCAAAAGGTTCGGATCCGTCAAGGCTACTGAAAAATTGGGAAAGCAATTAAAATATATAGGTCCATTACAAAAGGTTGATTCTACTATTCCTAGAAGAGAGTCAGAAAATTTGTTATGACGTTCGTCTCTCAAACACAGGAGGACATAATTATTTAAATCAAGTCGGGTTAATGGTTTTATTGCGATTTGCACAAGTCCTATATGTAAATATTTATAATTTTTATTTTTATAGTCTTGTATTATTCTATTTGAAAGTAATTGGAAACCATCTTGCTCATTGGTGATAGAAATACTTTGTTCTACGGTTTTGATAGCAAAACTTGATTTAAATTCAAAGGTTTCTTTTTTTGTAAACGTCTGAAGTTGGTACTTTTGGAATATTCGAATTATGTATCTGCTTTTCTATATTATCAATTGTTATTTTTTCTCTATTTCTTACTCGTAGTGTGCAATTAGAGGAAGTGGTTGTTCTATTGGATAGAGTCCTAAGGAAATTTGCCATTTTGATAATAGTTGAATACTGAGTCAATCGGAAACAATCCATGTACCTTTCACGGCTCTTTCTGGCCTATCGATAGTTCGGGTCACGACGACTTTTAGTTTCAATCTCTGCTATCTTAATGGAAAATTTTTTTAAGTTCTTTAACCTTTAGAACAGTATTTTCTAACAATAGTTCACCACTATAAGCTCATGGCTCTAATACCAATTCAATATGGCAGGCAATATGAAGAATAATTCAATCCATATCAATATAAGAAAACAACTTTTAAGAAGATGAACACTACAAAACAAAAGATGCATAGAGGAAATGATACATCCACAACAAACCAGTTCACATACAAGGCATCCCTAACTTTTACATAAATTACTATCTTAAACTGCATAAAGAAATAACACAAATAAACCACTTACATGTGACCCTTGCATAAATTAGAAAACAACTTCCACTCGTTTGGACAATAGTTGGCAGAAAGTCCCAGTTACAATCACACACCAAATACTCATATACTTACTTTTAGAAGTATAGTCTAGGTGGATAGATACACCACTAGATATACAATAGAGGGATAGAATAAGAGATATAAGGTTTGCCGAGATGAGGTTATAGAGATGAGGTACAAAGCTGAGGTGCAGAGATGAGGTGTAGAGATGAGGTGAATAGATGAGCAGAAGAAGGAAAACTCTCGATGCCCTGTGAATGGGCTTCTGTCCTCCTTTTATAGTTGGCGGACTCCAAAAAATTATTTCAAGTCCGTTGAAGTGATTGAGGTGACAAAAGGTATGAACAGGAGGTGATAAGACAAAAGGGTATCGGTGATATGACAAAAGGTATGAACAGTGAAAAAGTGATAAGACAAAAGTAGGAACAGTGAAAAGATGTTGTCAGTGATGAGACAAAAGTATGGATAGTGAAAAGATGATATTGGTGATGAGACAAAAGTATGAATAGTGAAAAGATACTGTCGGTGATTACTATTTGCTAACAGGACTCGTGTGCTTTTGGGCTGCAGTCATTCCATCCTGAGTAGCATTGGGATGGCCAAACTCTGTAGCTTTATCCTCTTTGAGATAGTCCGAATTCTATGTCTTCATTGTCCTATGCATAGTCTTCCTCATTTTGTGTCGAGGCAGACATAGCTTCCTCTTCTTCATCAAACATTTGCAGCAATTTCTTTTTTAGTTCTTCCTTTGTGGCAGTAGGGTTTTGTTGGTGCATCTTATTTGTATAGTCTGTCATATTGACTCCTGCTTCAGGGGGTGAGAATGGCACCTTTTTCATTTTTATATTTTCTAGATCGAGGGCTTTATTTCCATAGACATCCCACCACTTTATATATATCTGCTTTCCCAGTTTTGGGATATATTTCCAATTATTTGTATAATCTTCTGTTATATGGTAGGACCATTTCATGATCTATGGGATTTGATATAGGGCCATAAAATACATATGAAAGTCTATCCTAGTATCATTATTATTATAGTCTATAAATTTTCGTTGAGAGGCTTGGATATTAGGTGGCAATATTTCAGTACCTGAGCCCCATAGTTGAAACCAATTCTTGAACCAATTCGTGAATTCCCTACTATTGGCATTTTCATTTGTATAAACCATGTATGAGAATTATTATTATTTTGAAAGGCAAAGACTTTATGCCAAGCTTCAATATATTCGAAATATTGAAAATATTTATTGGTAAAGCCTTCTGATTGCATTTTTCTTGCTTTCGAAATGGTCCATACCCCATTCCCTATATGAGATTATTTTTCTTATTTGGAATTTCGAGTACGCTATTATATTAGTATTTTTCTTATAAAAGTGGACCATGGTAATCAACCATGTTTTAAGGAGGATGGCTTCATACCATTCTCGGGTTTTGTCACCATTATTCTGATATAGATGATTATTCAGATAAATATTTGCTATTTCATATGGATCTTTATCTTTATGAATATCTTCTATTATAATAGTAGGCACAAAAGAGGTCTTTAAGCTACTTTTTTCTTCAGTTGTATTTATTGGTATTGGTTCAGGCGAAAATGTTATTTCTTGTGCATGTCTTTTAATTATTTGATTTGGAGTTATTGGTGAGGTTGCTAAGGCCTTTCCCGTCACAGGGACTATTTCCATTTTCCATTTTCCCCTGTTTACTGCTGCTACCCTCTTGTCTCCCCTGCAAAAACTTACGGGTTAAAAAATCAAGAAGGTAATTAGTAGTGCCTTTAATATATGCAATCTCGAATTCGAAAGAAGAGATGATACCTTGCCAACGTGCAAAAATTTGTTTAGAAACAAGATTTTTGACGTCTTTTTGGAGTATGTCTTTACCAGCTTTGAAGTCAGTTTGTATTAGGAATTTTTGGTTGAGCAAGTCACTTTGAAATTTGGTGACGCAGTGGACAAAAGCTCTTTTTTAACCATGGAGTAATTTTGCTGTGTCTGATTCCAAGCTCGAAAAGTAAATCGAACCAACTGTTCCGTATTTGAAATTTTTTGTTTTAAAATTCCTCCCAACACTATTTCTGAAGCATCACACTCAATTATTTTGAAAGTAGAAGGATTTGACAGTGTAAGGCAGGGTAATTCTTTGGCTTTTATTTTTATTTTCTTAACTGCCAAGGTATGTATATCTGCCCATTCAGAAGGATTCTTTTTTAATCTTTGAAATAGTGGTTTAGCATCAATAGCTAAATCTTTATAAAAATCAGCAATACAATCAAGACATCCCAGAAATCTTTGAAGCTCAGTTTTATCTGTAATAATGTCTGAGAATTTAGTGGAAAATTCAATAGCCCTATCAATAGGGATTATTCTCCTTTGGAAAATATTGTGTCCTAGAAACCTTATTTTTGTTTGAGCAAGACTAATCTTTTTGGCAGAGACAACTAGTCCGGCCATCTTAATTGCTTTGACAAAAACATTTAAGTGTTTAAAATGTTGTTCTAGGCTTTCAGAAAATATTACAATATCATCAATGTAAACTATCATCAATTTTGTATAAGGATTAAAAATAGCATTCATAATATTTTGGAATTCTGAAGGCGTATTTTTAAGTCCAAAAGGCATAACATTCCATTCATATTGCCCAAAAGGAATATTAAAAGCGGTTATATATATATATATATATGAAAACACTACGTAAAGCCTATAGGCGAAAATGAACATTGATTTTGCCTACCCCAATCACCGTCCAAAGATCATCGTGCGTTACGATTGTTCGGTAGTTTTTTATTTTTCATTTTTTTTTTCTATATATCAGAATGATCTGCAATTTGGAACGTGTATTCATAAAAAATAGAGGAATCTTCGAAAAATATAAATAATATATTTTACAAGAAAAAATTGACCAAATACCCCCAAAAAGTTTTTTGGTCAATTTTGTTTTTGCGGATAATGTTTTTATATTTTTATTAGATGCGCCTCATTAAGATGTACATACTCTCCAAATTTCAGGTCATTCCGATTTGTAGAAAAAAAAATAAAAAATAAAACACTATTGGATAATCGTGACCC